GTACTTAAACCATTAGGTGACATCTCAACCGTTTGGTAGAGATGAACTTTAACCATAAAGGACATCTCAACCGTTTGGTAGAGATGAACTTTAACCATAAAGGACATCTCAACCGTTTGGTAGAGATCAATATTTCCAAAACCACAGGGTCTGTTGAAAAAAAAAATTGATTGTGTTTATAGATCACCCTGGGGTAAAAGAAATGCTAAGAAAAAAATTTTCACAGGTTTTTTTCTAGGTGCGGTAGCTAAAGGGTTAATGAACATTTCTCTAGTTTAACCTGTTTTAAATGATAAGCATTCCTAATTAGTTTAATCTATGTATTTGCATCGTTTACAGAGAAATCTAAATTGCTTTTGCTTTTGTGTTTTATTTTGAAAGGTTTAACGGAAGCTATACATGGTTTGTTCCGCTTGACGTGGTCACTGGTCGGCGTAGTGGTCTTTGCGAAGGAATGTGGCAGCTGTTTGTCGATATGACTACGAGACAGACGTTTTGAGAGAAAAAAGATGTCGGAGCTGCAGTTTCCCGTCTTATTAGACAAACGTGAGTACTTGAAGCTGAAGCTGTGGAGCCCAGTCCTGTCAGCAGCTATTGGATGTTATTGCAGACGCTCTGAGTGAGAAACGCTAAAGCTAAATAGCGTCTGGACAGCTAGCTACAACTGAGCCGGGGGATAACGTTACCTTTGTGTTAGCTAGAGTAACATTAGTAACTCTGACTCCTCATCATTCTTTAAAGCCTGCACTGAGCTTAATGCACCTTGTATATTATTTAGTGTCTACATTTATTTGCACTTTGCTTTAAAAAATAAACAGCGAATAGTAAATGCAGCTAATGCTAGCTGTATGACAAAAGGTTAATTTGTTTCTGAAAACATAATAACCTGTGGTGTTACCACAGCTTTGCTCTGATACTTTAAATTGAGCTGGTGTCTTCTTTACTACCTCAAGTTGCGCTTTGTGGGGAATAAAGTAAGGGATTCCTGGACAAATGTGGCACATTGTTTCAGCGGTTTAGTTTGTAAGTTTCTGTATGATTGAAACGGACCGGATATTTTCCTCTGTAGTTTATTTAGTTATGGTACTAGTAAAGGGACCTCTGTGAAGAGGGTCAGCTGACCACAATACCATCTCGCTCTTGCTTCAGTTCCTTGTGTGCTTTATTTCTTTCAGTAAGCCTCGATCAAAAAAAAAAAAAAAAAAAAAAAAAAAAAAAAAAAAA